GCGTTCCAAATTGCAACTTGCAGATTCGCGTCCTATGCATGATTTACAAGGACGAGGCGGCCGCGGAACGGGGTTAAGTTAAGTGGTTCTCTCGCTCGAATAGAATTTATTCCGTTTCTCGAGTGAATCGCAAGAGGATTATCTACGCACGAGCCAAAAACAGGGGAGAGTAGTTAGATAAGCCGATCAAACAACCGAGTCGATGAGAGTTCGATGGTATGGCGTCGTAGATGGTCGTGGCTTTTCCATTAGGGGCGTTATCTTGCCGCGTTATGTTCCTAAGGGAATGGCCATTGGGAATGGCAATTTTTTTCCCATCGGTAAATTGAAAATCGACGAATCGTAGCGTAGAGATACGAAGTTTGTGGAGTTGGAAATTATCGTTAGGTTTTTTGTCGATAAGGGGGACCGTTTCTAAAAGTAATTTTTCATAGATTTCGACGAGAGGGAATTTTGTTTGTAGAAGAAAAATTTTTTGTGTAGGAAATTTGACTCGTTGAATTATTGATCGAAGGTAAAGGATGAATGGTGTTCCGATAAGGAAGGTTTTAAACCTGATTTCGACGAGAGAACGGTGATAGAATTGTTGGCGAACTTTCGAAAAAAAAAAAAATTTCGTATAGAAAAAATTTGAAAGTGAGGGGAAATTAATTCGTAAGATAAGTTTTACGAATGTTTGTGTTAAACGATTAATTACTCTTAATAATAGATCTTGCCTTATATTCAGAATAATTCCAATAATCTAATAAAGCCAACGTGATCGAATCTACGACCTATTAAAAAATTAAGCAAGATATAATATATAAGATATAAGGTACAAAGTTTTTATTTGAATCACGAGTTATGTTAATGTATCATGAAGTTTTTATCGAACTTTCATATCAACACGTATAAATTTTATTTTTAACATAAAAATTTCTCTACTCGAATAATAATATAACATGTGCAATGAATCATATCAAAATGACTAATAGAATTTACGTAATTAATTTCCAATTTATTCATTCCAATGACAATCGATTCTTAGAATCTCGAAACAATGTTCCTTTCGAATACCTTATCGGATACCTACTCATTATCATGACGCACGGACAAATTGCAAAATTATATATCAATAACGATTTTTATACTATGTATGAAATAAAGATAAACAATAATTTAAAATAATTAAATTAAGTTAATTTGAAGTATTTTTCTATTTAGATTAATTGAAATAAAATTGACAAATTTATTATTCCAATTCGGATTTTGCATAAGTCAGACATTGAGAGAAGAAATTGATGCACTTGTAATATTGTCATGCAAATATCATTATGCAAATACGAAATAAAACAAAAAAATATAATTACTCGAAAAACAATATCTAAAACCGTTATCTAATAATGTATTTAAACACAACATATATAAAAATGTTCCAGAATAAAAAAAAAAAATATCTAGAAAATATAAAAAATTATCAAGCAAAAGGCAGAAGAATCGAAAAAATTCGTGCAAAAGAAATCGCTTTCCATTTCCGCGCGTCAATTCGCGTTTCCATTTTCATGGAAATTTTTACACACCTTTATCTACCTTTATTTCCGAACAGTTCGCGATATTACACTCGGTCTTGAAGCAGGGACACATTTCTCATGCGGCTTGGCGAACTGGTAAGAGGGAACGTAGCCTGGCAAAGGTCTTTGGAACCAGTTTTGCCAGACATCGCGGTTTGCCAGTTGAATTTTATTCGCCTGTTGACCAATTGAGACGGTGCTCGCCTTTCCCTCCCTCCCCCTTCCTCCCCTTCTTTTTCGCCATTATGTTGTTTCATTTAACGTAATAATAAAAGTCGACGCGGTGAGAAAACCGATCGACGATTGGCCAACAACAAGATCACAATGTATCACCGCAAGAGTAAATGAAAAAGATAAAGTTGATGGATAAATAAAAAAGATTGTCGTAAAATCCCGTATCATCTTCCTTTTTATTCTGGATATTCTCATTCCTCACATTCGATATTTTAGCATTTTATTTCATCGAGTCACTTACAAAAAATGTAACTTGATTATATAAAGGATGACCTTTGGAAAAGGCGGAATTTAAGAAGTCATCGACTTATATATAATATTTAAGAATTCAGATAGAATTTAAATAAATCATCGTTAACCGAAAATTGAAAGTGTACTTTCTTTTTTTCTTTTTTCTTTTTTTATATTAAATATGTTATTATTATATCCTTATAATAAATTAAAAAAAAATCTTTTATTAATTCTCAAAATAATATGGCTATCAGTTCTTCGTTGTCTTAGGTCAGCGATTCTTTACAACAGAAGCAATAATGTGTTTTCTTTTTCTTTTTTCGAAAAAAATTCTAAGAGGCAAAATTAATGAGAAATTAATATTCATAATCTCGTCTTATGATGGTCAATATGCATATATGAAATCTGACGAATCTGGAACGTTTGATTAAAATTAAATATTATTTGCTATAAAGTTATGAGCATCGGAAATTTCATTAAGAATTTCGGCCATTTCGTCTGCAAAGATCCATGTAATATATATTATCTGAATTTTTATGGCGCATATTAAGTATTTTGCAAGAGGCTTGTCGATTATGAGTTCCCTAATTAATGCATATTCCAGCATTCTCGAAGAGTTCAAAAGACGAGTTATAAAACTCGAGAACGGGATATAAAACAGGTGTGTGTATGTGTATTGAAGATTTGCTTCCTTTCTATCGTCGGCGAACCTGTTCAGTTTTGTCTTTAAATCAAAGGCGAAAGCAACAATTCGAAACGGTCAGAGAAAGCAAATTGTTCGTGCACTGTATATTGCGTCGATTTTATTTTACGACACTAAAACATATATATATATATGTTATCATTTCGTGAATAGGACATTAGATTAGATATATTATTATTACTACGATACGAAAATATTAATGATGCATTTGGAAAACTATCAGGTATGATAAAAGAAACTAATAAATTTTTTTTCTTTAATCCTTTTTTGTAGACAAGTTTGTGTTTTCAAGTTTGAAAATTAGTCAATTTATATCTATAATTTAAATATAAGAACTTATTATTATTATATGAAAATATTATTGACATGTTTTTAAAATTGTCAGGTACGACGAAAAAAATGCTTCAAATTTCTATTATTTATTTATATAGATAATAAATTTAAAATTATTTATCATGTGTAATTTAAACATAATATAATCAATAACTTAAAAATTCACTCTTTCAAATGTATCGATTTTTATTTCATGTTTACTTTAAAATTATTTAAATTAAATTATGTTAATTACAGAATTTTGTACGTACATCAAATTTTGTACATACATCAAAATGGTGATATATTCAAATAAAAATAAATAATGTCCTTTAGATCATCCCTATACAAACGACTCAACCTGTATTTCAACGAACTGTAAAAAAAAATAAAAAAATAAAAGAATTAGAAAAATCCCGGTAATTTCTCAGAAGAGCGAGAGCCAAGATAATACATGTGAATGTACATGTGTAACACGGAATATTATCGGGCACGTCATAGGCATGTAACACACCGCGTGAATGAACGATGAACGAAAAAGGGAGAGAAAATTAATGGCGAAGAGCGCAACACCCGCATATCTTCACATACGTGCAAGGCCGCATACGATAAAGATACTCCTATATAAAATGTCCCGCATTCGACGCCGATCCTGTCGATGCCGAGCGACCATAGTAATTCGTTACGCCGCGTTTCCATGCACTCATAAAAGCAACTGGAACGATGCTGGGATAGGGCAGTTTTCAGACTAAATTTTATCACATGAAAGGATACTACGAGAGGAATCAAATAAAGATCTTTCATTGATTTAATATCCTTTTGATGGAGATTCGTTTCAAGAATTTAATTTATCTTTTTTTAAATTTAAAGATTAATTTGTAGGTGTTTAAAAAGGATAATTGCTTTAAGTTATGATGAATATAATAATGATAATTAAAATGTTTTTCTTTTGGGGTTTTTCTTAATTTTAATCTTGGAATTATTTTTCATGCGATAATAATAATCTCAATGTTGTATATAGAATATATAGTAAATATTATCAATTCCAAGAATTTTGTAAATATCAATTCTTTTTGGAAACTTTTTGTTGATTGATACATGATCTTTATTTTTCATGTTTATGTCATTCCTCTTTTCGTACATTTCTGATAATTTGCTACATTGTAGATAAGAAAGTTTGAGATATTGCAAATCATTTCTCATAATCGTAAAAGAGCAAAATAACCGAAGAAGAAGTCGTTACGGCAGAAGTTTAATATAACTAATAATTTTTTCAATATTTGTTTCATTGGCTGAAAAATGACTATCAAAGATCCATTCGTCTGGGCTAGTTTAGTGTTAATACACAAAACCGCCAATTACTTCAAACTGACCTACTTTTTATTGTAGTACTTAGATTCGACTGTTGGAATAGCAAGTGGGTCATGCGTAAAAGTAACTGTTACAACAGCGTGTCATGAAATATCGCCTTAAGCAAAAGAAACGTGCGTTTCGTACTGCGTATAGAGTAGCACTCAATGTATGTGCACGCGCAAACATGCGAGGAGGAAGCAATCGCCGAGAAAAAAAGACAATAAAACGCATGGAGTGGAGTTTCCGGTTGCTACCGGATACAAAGGTGATTCCCGCTTCTCATTTTACTCTTTAATCGCCGCGATTCACAAGATTCGAACGAAGTATTCCCATGTAAAGAAAACTGGAATACTGTTACTGTATGTCATAACGAAATCAATGAATTCTTTAATAAATGCGAATTAAATGTTGAAAATTTCATATCGTTGAATAGATCTGATAGATTAATCAAATATGATAAACAAAATAATAATAAGATATGATTGATTATCCAGGAAAACATCATCTAATCAAGATATACACGATAATTCAACATTTCCAGGAAGATTTAAATACATATAGTTACATGAAATGTCGCCACAAGATGTGCGACGATCGATTATAGGAACGCGTTTCCAATCAAATTTAAGTCACGTCTGAGAACATCATGATTTCCTGGTACAACATGTTCTAGGTAGCAACCTGCGGCACTTTCGAAAAAAAGCCAAAAGCCAACGTCTTGTGTCTTGACGTTTGTCGAGCGGAGCCAATAACGCGCTGTTCTTGGATAAAATATACATACATAGCGGACAGTAAGAAACCGAGTGAAAGGCAACAATGTGAAGGTAAGCGTGCACAGGTTCTACGTATGCTAACCATACACGTATATACGAAAGGCCGTTGCGATCGTTGAAATACGTAAGTATTTTTATACGAGCACAGAGGCCGCGAGCACGTGAAATTATACTTCGACAAGGAACGTCAAAATAGAAAAAAGAACGACGTGTATTGGGACGAAGATAAATTCTGACCGGACTGAAAGAGAGATGAAGAAGGAGAGAGTAGTTTGAACGAAAGAGCAAGAGGAAAGGGAATGTATTCCAACGAACGAGCAAAAAAGATTATTGCACACATAGACTACGCGATCATATTGTTATATATGAAATTGCTGTGGATATATACCGTGTATATATTCGTTACATAAATAGAAAATAAGCGAATACAGATCGGTCAAAACACAAATCGATTCTTCCTGAATACGTCAACCGTGACAAGGACATTTACTAAATGAGTGAATTATACTGATATAATTACTCATAGTAAAATCCATAATGAAAAAAATAGAAACGAAGAAAGAAACGGTGAAAAAAGAAAAAAACATTCAGATCATATATATATATTGAACTGTGTGCATGATGATTTCTTTGTTCATAGATATAACTTTACGTTTAACGTATCATAGATAACGTGATAAAAGGAAATGGCATTTTTTTGTTTAATGAAATGAAAAAAAATTTAATCTGATTTTCTATGTACATCATTTTTTTTTCTTCTTATATCTTGATAGTATAATTAAAATTGTGATTACTTTACTTTCATATATGTAATAATTGTGTGCGTGTCGTGTGAAAGTTTGTATAGTAAGTTTTTTACATCGCATAATATAGATAAAATTTCGCTTTTAGATTTTTCTTCGGCCATTCAATCTAATACTTTCTATACTCCCGAATTCCGACACGTACAAACTACTTACACAACTATCAACTTCGTATATCTTTGATAATTTGACTATTGAATTATTGAATAATGAATAAATCTATTTTATTTTATGATTATTAAGTTTCTTATTATCAATTTAGATAGATAAAATAAAATATTGACATAATTAATTATTTTTTTATTATTTGACAGTAAATTAATACATTTTATTTAAAAGTAATTTGAATTTATATAACATTTATAATTTTCAACAAGAAAAACATACAGTCTCATCCGATAAAATATAAATTCAATCGATAAAAAATATCAAGAAGAGATAAGTTCAGGTATTCTCTTAAAAGCGATTTTATTAATATATTTTCTATTTTGAATCAGTTATGTTTTCGAATAAAACACTTAATTTGTCATAAATTATCATAGGACCTTAACATCGTATTAAAAAATTTAAAAATCTAACCTAAATTATTAAAACACTTTATTAAAAAACATAAAAATTTGTAAGAATATGAAGATATGGTTAAACAACTTTTATTAAAATGTAAAACATATATATATAAATACATGATTTGAATGGTGAAATGTTAATTCGCGTATACGCAAAGAAACAAAGCCATGGACAAAGCAAAATAGAGAAACCAACGCCACACGCGATCCATGAGGACGCTAGAGCGTGCTGACGAATGCACGTGGATGGCGTGTACTTGGCCTCTATTACGGACGCTGCAACGCCACGTCTTCGTAACGGTCGTATTAACGAGCAGCACTGACGATATAACGGCCTATAAATAAGTAAAAATCACAAGCTCGAAAATATCAAGATGTCACGGTCGATGGTTCATTCCAACGTCTGTTTGATTATATATCTGTACTGACTTGAGCAAAAATTTTTTTACGAAACGAGGCGTTCAAATGGGAAAATATTGCGAAAAAAAAAGAAAAATGTGGATAGAAAAAGAAAACGGGATTTCCAAAGACGAGGATCGTTGTCGAAAATAGCCATGTGATAAACCATCGTGCAGAAAGAGGAAACGAGTGAAAAAGTGTGGAAAAGAGATAGAGTTGACGATGTACGGAATGAAAGAAAACAGAGAAGGTCTGTGTGACTCGGCTGTCGTTTGTCGTGGATCGAGAAAATATAGATGTGGTTAATCCACGAATGGTCTCCGTTGGCCCGAGATGACAACGGATTAAACTTGACGGATGTGTACATACGTGTTAGAGAGAGAAAAAGGAAGAAAGATTTAACTGGAATCTGCTCTGGCGCGAGGAAAATACCCGGATGCGAGAGAGTGGCTGCGTTTAACAGCAGCTTCCTGGCACACAAGCATCGAGAGAAGCCGTGCAACTGGAAATCCCTTCGACCGTGTAATAACACCCGATATCCTGCGAGTTTGTTGATTTTTAAATTGTGCCCCTAGGTAGCGCGTTTGGGGTTTCGTGATAACCGTGCGAATTCGTTTCAACGTACAAATAAAAAGCTTTGGGGCATCGCATTGAGCACTTCTGTTCGTTTAATAGCAAGTTGACACAATTTCTGTGGTGATACTGATCAAGTGATACTGTAATAAATTAATAGAATATTCAAAATAAAATAAATAATATTTATTTAACGATGTAAAAGTTATTTATATCTATTTTCTCAGAAGTAAATCCAATTCAAATGTATATACCATTTTATATAAAAGAAGAAAAACAAGATTTACACGTGACTAGTGAAAATCCTTCCAATGAATAAATATTCGATGTGATTTTTCTTGGCGACGGATAACTACATTACTACTTTCTATCCAGGTTCCAAAGATTCTATAGCAGATATTGTGTAAATTAGCATAGCACGAATTAACCAAGACGAATTAAATTAAAATTTTTCTCCCAACTTTATCTCAATACGCGAAAAAAAAATATATAAATTCAATTTTTATTTATTCTTTTTCATTTTAAAGATATTTAGATATTGAAAGAAAGTATTTTAATATGATATGTCTAAAACTGGAAATGATTTATTAGAAAATAATTTTCTAGAAGCTTGAGACGAGAATGGCCCTAAGGTGTGCTTGTTTCATTGCAGCAGCATGGCGAAAAGGTCAACATAGGCGCATCGATCTTTGGGGATCTTCCAGAGTGGAAGCCAGTCAAAGGTCAGGATAAAGCAACCAGAGTAAATGCGGCTAAACAGAATCAGTTATGTGAATGAAGCCTTAATAAAACAAGGCTACGGATGCTTTTATTTCTGCATCCATTATAAAGAGAAAACGGTATTCTTTTCAATCCTCGCAACAGGTGATTATTATTACTATTTCATTGTGTTCATCCACAAGATCCATTAGTTCCGAGCTTCGCCTGCTTTGATTCCTAGAAATATTATCCTATTACTATCTTAAATTATAGGGTACATAAAAGATGAAATGGAAAGAAAGAAAGAACTTTGTATGCATGATGCTGAAAACTGGAAGTTTCGCTTCTATTATCATCTTCAGTTATTTGCTGATGGTGTAATAAAAATTGAAGAAGTCTTTTTATATTGCAAGTTTAAGTATTGGTTTTAACAATGAAGAATGTTTCAGAAAGATGTTTATTATTTAAATTTCCACTTGAAGATTATTTCTTTTTGCCTAAAATTGATAATCTTGTATATTTTTATACAATTTAATGTATTTAAAAAAAAAAGAATAATATTATTATTTGAAATATTCATATTCTTGATATTTATTTATCAAAAATTTAATCTTGAATTTCCTCAATATTTTTATTTTTGAATCAACCAGTTCAACTAAATATTAAACCAATTCAACAAATAAATATCTATCTAAAAAGAAAAGATTAATTCCATAAAAATCACTCTACATCAAAATAAAACATTGTTATTCAATCGCATATCAATAATCAACAATAAATCAACATCAAAAAATTTTTTCTCATCATAAGAGCTTTCTTTGCTCGTTGTTCCCTTGAAGCAACGTCACGAAACGGCGCTTAATCGATGAGACAGTCTGCCACGCCCGAAAAGTCGAGCGCGGCCGGACGAAGATGCGATCAGGTCGGTCACCTTCCCTTCCTTCCATAAGGAGAAGCGATTTCGAATCTGTGATTAACAACGGCTTCGTGAAAGGATACGACGTGGCCAAGAGCGTGCAACAGCTTTTACGAGTGGTGGCAAGGTTACTTTTTTTCGGCTCTGCATATATTATAATCGGCGTCTATGTTCATAAAACAACACGGCAGACTTGTAAATGTTGGAACATTGGACTGGACATTTGTATATTTATATCTCTTTGACTTTTTTAGGCTTAACTCCTAAATCTTTGCATCTTTATGTTCCTTTTTGGATTCGTAGAAACCCGAAGAAAAGGGCTTCCTTAGAAATTGGTTAAAAGTTACATAGAAAATTAATTTCATTTATAACAAACAAATTTAATATTTTTAAATTTTTGAGAAAGTGAATATTGTATCATTGACTATAAAGAAAATATATGAATAAATGTATTCATTCTAACAGGAAATGTAAAATAATATTCATCTAAATGAATAAATGCAATGTTCATTCATCAATAAATTATTATTTATAAACGCATGCATAAAATTCATTTATATTTATGCATATACCTACTGATAGATTAAAAAAATTCATAACATCGATAAAGAATATGCTGCATAATGCATATCTTAAAATTCACCGTTTACAATTAACAAGAAAATCATCCTGGATAATTCTTCAATTCACGAAGGAATAAACATAAGATAATTAAAAATATTAATCATATTTTATTTCTGTCTAAAAAATCAATATCCTACAATATGCTCAAATTTTCTAAGTCTGATGAATCGATTTCCAGTATTGAAATTACGATATAGGTAAATAGCATTATGAGATAACCGGTATCATTTTAGAAAAATATCGAATTACACGTTTTCTCTAAACTGAGAATTTCATTACTGATCATGTTTCAGATTTTTTCATTGTAAGCATATATGATCGATATATTAAATGATTTATACAATTTATATTAAATATTTATTAACTTAACTTCTTCAATATTTCCATTCATATGTTAATATATTTATATATTAAATTATATATCAAATATTAGATTTCTATATTAACCCAATTGATTTAATTTGATTTAACAATCGTATATTTAATAGATTTCTAATTCTGATAAAAAATAATATTTCGATTTAATATTCTACATTGAATCAAGATTTAAAATGTCAAAAAAACATTTTACACAATCCCAGTTGCATATAAAATCGCAAAGAAATGCTAGAAAAAAATATATGCTAGAAGCAATCCGTCTCAAGCTAAGTGATAATCCATTCCAAGATCATCGAGTTTCACAGAATCCCGGAACCAAGACATCAAGAATCGATGCAACCTCGAAACACGATCTCTTTTAGCCTTCGAAAATCACAAGAATCACGAAGGACCGAAGAATCAGGCTGTCGACTTCACCGCCACGTTTGGCGATTATTCGAGAAACGAGCGAAATGATCAACGAATGAACGAATCAACGAACGGCACGGGAGAAAATGGTGTATAACCTTGCTCGAACGACCTCGATCGCCTTCACCGTAGTAGAAACCTTCGACGCTGTGCCTGGCCACGCCTACGGACACGCGCAGTATCGCCGCCGATCCTCCGATCCCGTGTCGAAATATTTTCACACGCATGTGCGTATATGTGTATCTTGTAACAGGAGATCGTGCACGCGATCGATGATGTGTCACGCCTCTCACTCTCGCTGCTTTTTACAAAGGGATCTCTCGTAAGGAACCACCTGACTACCTTTCGCCTTCTACATTTCCCTTATCCATTATCTTTCTTATAATATTGATGAAAAAAAGAGACGCAAAAAATTTTCTTATTTATTATTCGTTTCTGAATGTCTAAGCTCTTTGGATTTTTCTCGCATCATGTTAGATTTTTTTTTCTTCTATATTTACATTTTGATTCGTCATTGTTGACTGATATTCCTAAATAGAAGATTATTTATAAGATTTATTTTCTATTTTTAAGATTATGAATATATTTTATTTACGTGTTTCTTCGTTTTATTTTTTTAAATTATTATATATTCCATATCCAATAAAATCATTGGAATTCATTTTACCTATATTCATTAGATATTAAAATCTTAATACTTCCAGATCTTTCTTTAGAATATTTTATATATATGTGATATATAATACCAATATGTCAAAGTCTTATCTATGATTTATTATAAATCATAAAATAATTTTTATTCCGAAGCCTTATTTATCTATATATATACTTTCAAACTTCTCGATAATCTTCAAACTTTATAATTAACGTATATTCAGACACGCATATCAATCTGTCTTACGAACATAACCTCACTCGTAGTTTTTTCTTGCCTACTCTAATATCTTGCAGTTTTTCAATATGCTACGCGTGATGAATTTCAAAACATTTATAATGAATTTCGAAGACATTCTCACGATCCAATACACAGAGGCAGAAAAATTTCCGAGAAAAGTTTAACGATCGCTAACGATGGTTCGCAGAAAACGCGCGGAAACTATGAGGAATTCATGTGCTGCGCAGCTGGCGCATGCGCTTGAGGACAAATTTTTTTTCTAGTCTTGCAAATGTGATTACATGAACGCGGCTTTTTTTAAATCTCTGTAATTTCTCGGAAGGATTACGATTATACGATCTTCTCTCTCATGAATTTTATAAGCTAAAAATTCTTCCATTTATCTATGATTTTCTATTAGAAATTTTAAAAAATTTTGATAGCTACTTTAAATTTTTTGTAATTCTAAATAGAAGTGAATCTATTGATGTTTCAAATGTTCAAAAAAATCAGGATGATAATGATTTTTAATAGAATTTCGATAAAATTTCGAAAAAATATATAATATAATCATTTTAAGATTAGAAATATATTAAAATTTTTATCTTTTTACAAGAAAGGAAATTGTATATATTTATAATATTAAATTCGTGTTTAAAAAATGAATCAAACGTATTGCAAAATATCATATTAGATATTTATTATAAAAGAAAAAAAATATTTCTCTTTTTAAATCTATAAAAGATAACAACGTTTATACAGATGTTTTTAAACTAGTTGCGAAATTTGTTCAAAATTATTTATCTGTCCAATTTACGACATTAAACACGATAAACTGAAACATAAATGACTAAGATAACCTTCCTAAAAGCGAATTAAAAATATTTATATTATCGCTTAATACATATTTGATAAATATCGTTTGTGTTTCGTTTAGGTAACAAATCATGTAAAAAATCGTGTAAAAAAAACAATATTCACGGTTGATTTATATGATTGGTCGCGGATAACCGATAGATTTTGTAATCTTTCATACAGTATCGATTGTGATTACAATCAAACGAACAGAAAAATCGAAAACTTCTATGTGTCGCATAATTGTATCGAATATTCACTTACCCCTTCGTTTCCTAGGAACTGTATAGTAGGGTTCTGGCTGGTCTTGTTCTACAAACAGAAAAAAAAATTAATAATTTAATTAATTATTAATTATGTTTTCAAAAATAAATAATTTTGCATTATAACTTTTGTTTAAGTAATTAAATTTAAATATATAGGATGTCTTATGAAATATAAAAATGTCTGTAGTAATAAATAATGATATTAAAAACCGGAACTAAATATTTGTATGTAACACACATATGTCACATATGTTTTTTCAAGTTATATATAGTCATTATTATATCCCAATAATGTAAAGTTGAATAATTTTACAAGAAAAAATAATTATATTTAATTAAACACAATTTGCTATGTAACTTAAATACAAATAATATGAATTATTATTAAATGTCATTTAAAGTGTGACTAGAAAATAAAACATTTTAATTTTGATCTTTCTATTTAATTTTATTAAGTCAAATTACAATCTATATTGTATCGTTTTATTATATCGGATCAAAAATTATCGAATTGTATAATAAATATCGTAATGCAAAATCATAATATTTCTCTGTACCTGATTTTATACGCTTTATACGTCTTCTACATTTTATCGACACAAGTATTGATACGTGCACATAATTCGATAAATTCATAAATATGAAGATAAGAGTTTACTTATTTCAAGCCATCGATTATTATATATATATATATTTCAAAGTTCACAAAATTCTTATTCATGATATGATAAAAAAGGAGAAAAATCTGGAGAAAAATATATCGTAGATGTTAAATACATTTATATGTAATTTATAATTCGATAGAAAAAGAATTTATTTGATTATATGCTCAACGCAGCTTTCTATGCTGCATTTCTGCGGTTCGTGAAATCGAACTGCGGTATGATCTTATAACGTAATATATTTGTCACGTTACATTAGCGGCGCGCGCATACACGACAATTTTGTGTGCAGCGCGCATGCGCAGACGCCTTTGCGATCGTTTGAAAAGGGAAAGTTGTCGCTAAGTAAGAGCTCTTTTGATCACTGAACAAGACGAAGACGTTTGTAAAAGCAAGAAGCGCTCAGATTGCTAATATTATCATTAGTGATTGACAATATTTGTTGATAGTAACATATTATAGTAAATAAATTATAATTATAGTAAATATGTTAATAGTAACATATTTGTTAATAGTAACATGAAAAATGTATAAATAATATACACAAATATATCATTGATTAATAATCAAATTATCTTGATAATTAAATTTCAATAAAACTTGAATTCCTATGAAAATAATAAGTTTTTGTTTATAAAACCGAATACCTGTATTATATTATATTATATACGAATAAATAACAATCATAATATTTTAATTTTGATATCCACTATTAATTATTTTACAACTTTTATGAAATTATATGAAAAAACTATTTTAGTTTTAATATATAATAATTATTATATTTTATCCATTTTCAAGAGAATCTCTTTTATAAAAATGTATGTTTACAATCGTATTTAGGAAAAATATAGATTTTAGCAAATATGTAGATACTTTGCAATATGAACATGAATTTTGTAATATATTAATAAAAAAAGTTTTCATGTTCTGATGAATGATATTTTATCAGGTTAAAACTTGAATTCTGATTTTTGCTCTATCGAACAATCATTCGATAAAATAATAAAATAACATCAAAAATTTTAACATATCTTATGTTTTTAAAAAGTAAGATATATAAATTACATAAAATATTAAATCAATATATATTTTATAAAATCTGTAGTACAAAAAAAATTTTTAATTTAATATATTTTACGCACAAATAATATTTTGATAATAAAAAATTTTCGAGTTTTTTCGATAATAAAAAATTTTAATTGATATATATCATTGAATGAAACATTTAATTATTAAATTCTGCATTTTATACGTAATTTTCTCATAAAATGATTTTTTATGACCCATCATAATTTCTCGTAATAAAATTTATATTAAGCGAATAAAAATTCACAATTTTTAGAATAAAAATGAAAATTTTATTAAAAATAGATCAAATATAAAGATAAAAATATATAAAGATCAAATATCAAGATGTTTAGAATAGAAAGATCAAATATCAAGAATTATATCTGCATTTGTCGTTCATTTGAATACCAGTCTCATTCATTTCAATCCAACTGTTTTTATTACAAGTTATTATGTTAAATCTTTTTACGCGTTTCATTTATCGATTCTCATTAAAAATAAGCGAATATTCATGATTGTACACGTAAACATCCGCTTTCACGAATGAGACTCTCGAGTTCTTGTTAGTTGTCCTTCGAAACCGATACCGACGTGTCGTTATTAGATTTTACGAGCGATTTGACGCCGTCTTAAGATACATGCACATGCATTGACGTTCGAGCTGAGTTGCGTTTGAACGGTTGTCGCGATTTAACGAGATTTAAAAGCGGGCACCGGACGGTAGACTACACGTCTCGGGCAGAAAAGCGATCAGGCGACGAATACAAGCGAAGAAAAGGAGAGACTGGACGCAACGAAATAAATTAATGACGCAAAAGGCGACTCGTGGTCTGACCGTTAAATGCTTGAATATAAATTAGTAGCACTTTGTGCTAAATTAAGTACATTCTGAACCGAAATCGTCAAATGTGAAAATGGAGCAATATGATTAAAAGAAATGGAAAACTATTTTATTTAAAGAAATCTTCTTTTCATTTTATTTTTTGTATTTATTTATTTTTTTCTTAGAATTTTTAAAAATAAAATCATTAAAAATTGAATGTTAATTTCAATTCTATGCAATTCAATTAGGCAAATTTTGATGCGACCCAAATTAATAAAATACTTTCATGTTTCGATAATGCAGATTTTGCCAAAAAGATTACATATTAATAATTTACTATTTAGAAGATTAACATTTAAGTAAATTATTACAGAAATATCATTTTATATGCAATTTGATTGCTCTATTCTCAATCTCGTTCTGATAGGAGCACTGGCTTTTTTCATTTATGCTTCAGCTGGCAAAAATAAAGCCAGAATCAAGCCTATTCATCATTTAGGAGAATGCAATAGGACTATGTTGTGATTCAGTGACTCGTGACTCAGAGAGGTTCCTTTTTTGCCTATGGAATTGTGATGAAACTGCTATTGCGACAACTAAGATCGCTAGTAGGTGTGCTATGAACTTATTCAAATTTCTTTGAATATAACACCTTTGCCTATTATACTTTAAAACTCGATAAGATTGAAAAAAATTATTTGTTTCATTTTATCCGATTATTCGTTACATTCGTTTACTGTAAATATTTTACCGATAACGATCAACATCTATAGACTCACGAGGACGATTTATCTCATCAAATTAATTCTTTCAGACACAATCGTCCTTTGAATACGTCACTTCAAAGGAATCAACTCTCAATCGTCCCGCGCTGCATCGTTCCACGTTTGCCCAATAATTTATTTTCGCTCGTCGAAAGAGTGGTCGAAACAAAAGTTCCATTAGGCAAAATTTCATTCTCACCAAACGGACGAACGAGATCCGCCTTGTTGCCTTTATTTCCCGACCGAGGGAGAAAAGGCGAAGGGACGCTGGAAGGTTCGCCCATTCGCTGACTAAATTCACTTTACCCGTCCCTAACGTACAAAGAGAGATGTAACAATGCCGGTCATTCTATTTTCACGATGGTGGAAGGAAGCATTGCGTGTCACATTAAACGTTCTCAAAGCGGTGCCTCACTCATCCATCCTTTTCCCTATCCACCAAGGCTATCATTGCTAGACTGGTCAATAACTCTTCCTCCTTCTTTCTTTTCTCCCTTCCCCTATCCACTATTTTCCTTCCAATCATTATTTCTTTCCTTTTCATCATCGTTTCTCATCAACCGCCTACTTTTGGATGTAAACCACAAGAATCCCTTCCTTTTTCTCTTCAAGTTACGGTCTCTCGTCAACCACCCTTTTTTTCTTTCCTTCGATCATCTCATCAACTGCTTCCTTCGAATCATACAAATCATTTTCCATATTCTTTTCAATTATCGTCTTTTCTTAACCGCCTCTTTTTGGACCGCATAAATCATTCTTTTTTCTTTCCTTTGATCAACGAAGTTTGGTTAACCGCTTGTTTTTCGAGTATGCATATAAATTACCCTTATTCTTTCTTTCAATCTTGATCACTCGTCTTTTTTTTCCCTCTTTCTTCGTCTTTTTTTTTGATCCTATTTCTCTTTTTTAATCGTCTCTTACCAATCATCTGTTTTTGATCCGCATACATAAACCATCCCTTCTCCTTCCAACTAGCAAGTCTCTGGTCAAGTTCTCTTTTACTTATTCGATCATCGTCTCCGATCAACCATCTGCTTATAGATATATACCGTATAAAACCACTTTCTTGCTCTCTTTAGATTATCGTCCGTCGCCAATCTTCTCCTTTCGAACTACATAAACAACCCTCTTCCTCTCTTGACGATCGTCAATGATCTTCTTTTATGCCATGTAAACCACCCTCATCGAAATCGAATCTCAATGGCCACGGGTATTGGCAATAAATTACCAACTTCTTCAGAGACGTCCACCATCAACTTATCGAACGATCGTAATCCCGCATCTGAAATCGTTCGACGGGAACGTATTCGACTAATTGATTTCGATTCACCACTCTGGATAGATTATTCACGGATTCCGGAATCACGTTATCGAGGAAATGGGGAGCGCAATTAGACGAAATAGATACGGAGGAATCGAGTAAAAGAGGAATCGAAAGAATAATTTGCTATCGGAAGGAAAGATGGTGAATGAAGAATTTCACACCTGTTGAATTTCGTTTTTTAGCGGTAAATCGGGATATCCCACTCTTGGAACGATTGATAAATTATTCGCCGTGAAAAGAGGAGAGACGCGCGCATAATTTATCCGATGGATCGAGCGGCGTCCATCGAGCGGACACTTCACCAGGTTCGCCCGATAAGGCGGATATAACGCGTGGAAGGTTAATCGGTTAAATGGTGAACGGTTTTTCCGATATTTCATATTTATGGACCTAGACTGGCGC